TTTTATTTTAATTTTTATATAGGGGTATTTTTGTCTTTTAAGTATAATTTTATTTCCATGTCTTGCATACCAAACAAAAGTAATGCAAGGATTCCATCTAATTTTTCTGACATACCAAACATATTTTTATAATTCAATTCTATTCCAATTCTGATTTCAATTTCAATTTCAATTTCATTAAAAATTATTCAATCATATCAAACAGGGCCTCCGTCTTTTCTTCAAGACCTGTCTCGTGTCTCGTGAACACCCTTATTGAAAATTTAAACTTGGGATAAAATTTTTTTAGACCAAAATACCTTTCATTTTTAGCACCAGTTTGCTGCCTCAAGCTCCACTCTTCAGCCACCTGATCCATCTCATCTCCTGATCTCCACCTTCGTCTTCCTTACCTCCTAGATCCCTAATCTCGCAACCATCATCTCGCAATCACCGTCAAATGAATCTCACAACTATCATCACTAGATCTCAAAGCTTCTCACCACTGATTCTCGCAACCACTTTCATCTCCTTCTCTCACATATTCGACCTCCATCTTCCTCCCTAACGGGCACATAGCTTCAAATTGGTGTGACGGTGTCCTCGAGGAAGTTCTTGAGCGGCAATTGAGTTCAGCAAAGGATACACAATGGCGAAGGGGTGGTTAATGGTTGTTCTTTCTTTGATTTCATGGACGAGCACGGGTGAAGTTTGGATCTTGCAACACTTATCACCATTTGATTTTTTTTTTTTTTTTGGGTTCAAACATCCATTGAAATATACCTGAGAAATCTGGAGAGCGAGCCTTATTCTTTCCATTCTCATTCTCGATTTGATGCACTGGATGAGGGTTGGGCCTTTGGCAGCGAGGGTGGAAGATGAGAGCAATTGTGTATTTTACCTATTTTTTAAAATTTAAGTTTAATGTTTTTTTTTTTTCAAACCAAACATCATTTTAAATTTTATTCCTACTCCCAATCCCACTTTCACTCCCACCCTCAATCCTATTCCCAAATGCATAAAATTCAATGACGTGTACCAAACAGGGCCAAAGAAGCTCGGAATAATATTCGATGCCACTGCATATTTGTTGGGGCATCATAAAAGTAATAATCTTCAATCCACTGATTGTAAAAGAAATCATGCAATGGTGTGCTGAACCCTGACATCTCAGATGTCAGGATCAACAAGTCGGATCTCTTCAATTTTTCTATAATAAAGGGGAAACAATGACAATGGGCTGTTTTAACCCCAATTCTAACTCCACAAACCACAAATAGAGGTCAAAATTGCTCATGCAGCTTCATTGATTCAAAAGCAGAAACAATGGATGTATTCTCAATTCAACTACTTCCCAGAGCCCATCAGTCCACAAACTAAAAAACAATGGCAAGCAATCTCAATTATGAGATCTAATTAAACAACACGGGCAAAAAAACAACCTGACTACCTGATCCCATTCCTTCATAATGTTCGATCTATCTAATGTTGGATAAAAACACAGTATGAACAATAAAAAGGGAAACTGATATAAAACCATCAAAGAGACTAGCTGATCCATCGTTCCATGCAACAATAAAACGGATTACAGCCTTAGAGGCATCGGTATCTAACACATACGATTAAGAACATTTCCACAATCAGCTTTAAGAAACCAAATTACAAAATGAATAAAACAATTGAAGTATAGAGATCCCAGAAAAAAAAAAAAAACTGAAGTATGAAAACCGGTAGATCCATCAATAAGAGTTGCAAATCCTACATTAAACACAATAACAGAGAACCCTACAAATCTCAAGTGATTCACCCTGTGTATATAAAATTTTGTTAATACATTTTCATAGAAGGCAGAAGTATATTTTCTGCGTTTATTTCACCTCCAGGTCCTAACGATGAATTTCATGGATCAGATCAAGACACCATTATCCTGTCATCCTCCTCGATCTGGATCCACTGATCTGCTCAAACACGTGCAGTGACCGTAGGTACAGAGGAAGCAACAGCGGCATTGGCTGCAGCACCACGGATGAATGACAGGAATCCAGTAGTTTGAGAATTATCTTGTTCATCCAAGAAGAGATCTTCAGGAACCCTGAAGGCACCATGAGCGCAAACAATGGCCACACCCACCATGAGAGCCGAAACAAGAACAGATCCAACGTTGGTAAGAAAGACTACGAACAAAGTGAGGCCACCCAAGAGGGCCAATGTCTCGAAATCAGAGAAAGTGCGACCAAGAATGACCAAAGGCTGATCAGAGGGACGGAAGAGGTAAAGGAACATCCACGAAGCGAGCAAACCCACGAGGACAATAAGAGAGAATGGATTCGTAAGGAGAGAAACACCAAGGATCAGAGCAACTATAGCATAATAATTGACACGGAAGTAAGAGTAGTTCTTGCGGATCCGAAGGGTGGCTTCAGAGAAGCTCTCTGGTTTCGCGAAGGCCGTACGGTCAACGAGTTCACCCCAAGGACGGCGCTGCGCGAGGCCATTACGGACGGTATCGGAGAGGTGGCCGATGAAGGCGCGGAAGGCAGGTGTGGCAATGGGCCCTCCAGATTCGGCGGCGACGCCACCAGCGGCAGCGTTGGGCTGGGAATTGGAGATGGGGAGGACGGGAGGGCCTGAAGAGGACATTGTAGGGTGTGAGGGATCAACGAAGAAGAGAGAAGAAAGGAGAGATCGATTTATGGGAATGGAAAGACTAGATTTGGGAATCGAGGAGAGAATGCGAAATTGATGGATGAAGGCGACTTTGGGAAAGGTGTGGAGGGTTTTGTTTCTGTGAAATTGAAGGGAAAGAGATAGGTTGTCCCGATGTAGGATGATGGAAAAAAACCAAGACGACGTCTTACGCAACTCAGCTTCGTCGTTAAGATTCCACTACCGACAATCGCATTGGCTTTTGGCTTTGGGGACCTGGGTCAATGGCTCAATGCTCGTCGTTTACGATGACACGCGTATTTGCTCGCTTGATTCCATGCCTCGTCACCGCCGTTTACAATTCCACACGTATTCGATATTCGCTTTATAATTTTTGTGATCTGGGTTTTTTTAAATAATGTCAAACTTTTATCTAGAGTTAAAAAATTGGGTAGGTCTGAGCCATATGGATTCTGCCCTAATAGGCCCAACCTTAAAGTCCATTTCTTTAAAAGCCTTCATTTTTTTAAAACCAGGCCTTTATTCAAAGGACACAGGCCGGGCCCGTAACCTATTTTAAAAAACATAAAAAAAATTCAAACATTTTTTAAAGGACTCAAGTATCTTTGTTCAGTACTTGCTCTATCATGCTCAAGTTTAGTTTAAAAATCAAATGCAAATCAAGTACTTATTCATCAAATCATATACTTGTTTAAATACAAAAAAGTAATAGAATGGTTTCCACGTAAGGTCAGGATTAATAATCTGTCCTCCACAGAAATAGGCACTGCTAAATACTCTTTAGAAATGAAAAATCAAGACTTGTCTTACACTGTCAATCCACATGCAGTGCCCTTCTTACCTCTTGAATCAAAGTCGCTCGTGTTGTCATAATCTTGCTATGAATAAAGGAGGGATTAAAGGCAGAGCAATTTATCCAATCCTTCAACAGCTCTTCTTGACCCCACATCTCAAGAATCCAAAGCCTTCTTGCTACTTTAACTTTGTAATGATTCAACCTCTCACATCTAAGAGTACCTAAAACACGAGACTGGATGATTGGAGTAAACACCATGATAACAAGGGACAACAGAGGTGAGATCGAGATCTAGCCTCTATAGGCGACGTGGCATCATGATTGAACAAGATTGAGACTTCAAGACACTAAGAGGGACTAAGCAATCAACGAAGACAATGGCAAGATGAAGAGGCTAGTTGAGCGAGAAAGAGAGAGGCAAGATCGCGAGGAGAGGGAGATGGAGAGTCAAAGATAAGGGTGAGAATGGAGATGCCGACTTGCTAAGATTGAGAGGAGTGAGCGAGACCATAGAATCAAGTGAGGAGCCAAGATAGTCAAGTGAGCTTGGGGTTTTTTTAGATGACTTTATACCGTGCATTTTATTTAAGAAAAAAAAAGTTAAACGAGCACGGAAGACTGTCTGAACTCATTTTTTTAGAGTCAATCTTGAAAACCTAATTTTATTAAAAAGTATCAATTTTTTAAACTCAAATTTTTATAAACACAGTTTTAAACGGGCAACTCTCCAGCTCAATTTTTATTCTCGACACTGCTTTCATCTTTAATCCTCAAGAGTTTTTTATTTGCCCTGGCATGTCTTGAGATTAAAAAATATATTTACACATTATTTATTAATTATTAATTTCTCATTAATAATAATAATAATAATAATATATTCATTATGAACGAAATTTGAGCTTATGAATCACATCCTAATCCTAATCAACCAGGACCAAGCTTTCCATCTTGACCTTCACATCTTGGATTAACTTGCCTCCACATTTTATCCCACCTTTATTGGCGTGGTTGCTTTCGCCTCTCAAATCTCAATTACTTGCGTCATTAAATATTTTAAAAAAAAAAATTAAAAAAATGGTCTTTCATCAGATCATTAAATCCATGTCACTACATTTGGTTAGATTTACCACTAGTTCACTATCGTTAACCCAAGGTTTATCAAATAGCTTTTTTCTTTTCTTTTCTTTTCCATAAGATTATCCAATAATAAATGTAAATATTTAACATAGCATAAATGTGTCTGACAAATATATCCTCCGTTCCTCCTCTTTATGCTTGGAATAGAAAAACTGGATATTTGTAAATAGATATTAGATATATCAAAACAAACCTTCCTTATTAATATAATTACCAAATTTTGCAAATTACTTCATAAAAAGGATCATACTCTCGTCTATATTGTCTGATAAAAGGAAACACAAGAGGAACCAGGGGGAACAACCTATTGTTATATGAAATTGTTTTCTTATTCATAAAGCCAAAAATCACAGAATACCAGCCATTACTTTGTAAAAAATTTAATCTAGAGATCATAATTCTAATAGAATAGAACAGGAAATCAGGGCTAACCATTCTCTGAAACATATCAACCACGTGATAATAACAAAATGATGTAGGTTCCATCACTGGAAGTCTCTTTAAAAGGAAAGGATCCACATTGTTCCAAACAGCTAATCAAGTGCCCATTGTACCAGCTAAAAAGATATTCGTAACATAACATCATTCATAGTCATAACAGTGGTGGGAAACAGAACAAACATCGCATTCAGTATCAAGGCACCACAACCATTAAAATGGAGTTTAGAACGTAGACCCATTCCATCCAAAGTTTGAACCCTGCAGAGGAAGAAAAGCAGAGTTACCATCGAGTCGCAGCAAACAATACAATACATGGCCATAAAATTGGATATTTAGGGTATGTTTGGGAGTTAAGGAAAGGGAAGAAAATCCAACAAAGATGGAATAGGAAGCAATGATTAAATTAAGGGATAACTTTTCTTTCCCTTGTTTGGGAATATTCTCTCCTTTAGAATCCTCCAAATTAGGGGACCTTCAAATTAAAGAGGAAGAGGAATATGGAAGGTTAGTTGACAAGCAATAACTAGCCCAACCTTCCTTAATAACCCCAAACAAGAGAGAAATTTAAATAAAACCTTCTCTTCTCTTCCGTAATTCTTCATCCAAACATACCCTAGAGAAAAGGGCTGGGGGTTTTGAGAGTTGGCATCTTAAGGAAATGGGTTGGATTTTTAAGTACAGCTAACAGACAGCAAGGATTTGTTTACATGATCTAGTGCTGGTGTAAAGCATGCAAACACTGTGCATATTCTTGACTTTGATGGTCCTAAACAAAAAGGAAGAATGCAATAAGAAAAAAGTGCAGCGCAGGTCAGTGACCCTTCAGGATAACTTGGAACTTTTTAAACACTTGCCTTTGTATCATAGAATTTCAAGAAGAATCGTGATTTGGGCACAGATATTTTGGTTTCGAGAATTGATGCAATTGCAGCACTAAGTTTCTTATTCACATCAGGGTTAAGACCACCAATGGACACCAGTTCCCCATAGGCTGCAGGCTGCTCAGTCCCACCAAAAGATATGGGAATCGATCCTTTCAATACAATCATCACATACTGCAAATTGGGGGAAAAAGGATTAAAGGATTTAATCAAGTCAAAGAAGCAACAAATTATAGCTCAGCAAAAATATCATACTTATTTTCTATTTTAAGAGCCACATCAATGTCATGCTGCTTATCTACAACATAATTCCGAGAAGCATACTCTTTTGAGTAAAAGGTGAATTTCATTACCGAACAAGGATTACAAAACAGCCATGGTGTCAACAAAAACCAGGCCAACCAATCATGTGCACAACTTTACATGGAGGAAATACAAAATTAAGGGAAAGAAGGAGGCTGGTGTGTCTGTTTTCTGAAGGTTGGCCAAATCTTTGACTCTGGCAGTGAGGTCTGAGATAGCTAAGGCTACACCAAGAAGCATCCTTTAAGTATACTGAAGGAGTCAGACTTCGATGCTCATCCCAAGAAGAACACGTATGAAATAAAGAAGTTAATGCTCTACAAACTCTTTAAAATGAGTTGCATTTTGAACCATAAAACTTTTCTAATGGGTGATACAGATAAGGGATAGAGGGAGTATATGGTTTAAAATTATGAAAAAAGTTAAATATTAAATAGTCCAGACTGTAACAAAATTTAATGTCATTTGACTAAAATAGTATACTCTTATTAACTATTATTTAATAATTTACACCATTTAGTTTTCTTTTTATTTTTTCGTTGACAGATCCTTTTAGTTACTCCATCAGATATTATTGTCCGATGAAGTTTTAACCCAATCATTAAACTAACTGAAGATGCATGTAGGTTTAAATCAGCAGAGTAATCACTAGGTATATTGCATAATAGTACACCATAGATCATACGGCCAGCAGGTCATTAAGGAAATCTAAGAGAATGTTCGAAGTCTTCTTCATCAATCAATGCTTAAAAACAATAATTTTGCTCAAACTATTCTGATTCAGGCAGTAGTTACCCTTCTTGAGGATAGCAGCTTAACACCAGCACAGCTCTAAATTCAGTGGAAAGGAACTACATTAATCCATATAAAGTTCAAAAAAGAGAGAAGTTGAAAACAAATTTATCAATGCTAGCACTCAAAAAACAAACCAAGACCCACTATCACTCCATCCTTCCAACTATATAACAGAGTAAATCATTCCCACCACATCCAAAGCTTGCAAATAAGGTCTTGATGCCCCAAATAGACCTAATGACCGTATAAAATTACTTCTACGGATTACATAGTGAGAATAGGACATAGATTCAGCAAAGTGACTTATGACATAATGATCCGTTGCAAGCTAACACAATCAAATATCATTGCCGGGAACTTGAGCAGTTTGTAGCTAAACAAGGAGTGACATATTATTTTCCTGAATCGATATAACATGAGACAGAGGACCAGAAAGATACTTGTAACCTCCGAACCTAAAAATTTCACTGATTTTCCTTGCAATATAATTACATGTATTTAAATCAATAGGTATCAAGACAATTCAACTATCACAGAATTATCTAAGACTTGAATCACAATCCAACCCGACCTGAATCACAATCCCACGTCAATATTCTAAAGAAATGATAAGCCCCGATAACCCTCTGACGATATCTGAACATAAATCTCAGTTTTCAGATTGGGAGGAAAACTACGCGGCAGTTCTTACAGGGCTGTTATCGTTTTATTCAATAAAATCAAGAGGTGCAAAGAAACCTTCGTTCCAGAGCGAATAACACGATGATAACTTGATAACAAATACTGAAGAAACTTCACATAAATCTTGTCACAGAGGGTTTGGCATCATTTGCCGGACTAATCATTTCCTGATTCCGTAAGTAACCCCACATTGCGTGCCTCTATAGTTGTTGGACGATACCAGTCGGTTTTAGGTTAGAATCTAATATGATATCCGAAGAAAGCTGGACTTCAAAAACTCCAAATAAAGCAGTAAAATACAGAAGAATAAAAATACTGAAAAAAAATGAAAGACCAAAAGGAGTAAAAACCATAGAACCAGAAAGGTTCGGAAGAATCGGACGCAAATTGAAAATACAGAAAAGAGAGAAATAGAGGCAAAAACTTCCTTACAGACTCAGGTTTGCCGATGAGCTTGGCGACGGTGGAGCTGGCTTCAGAGAGAATGGAAGAGGTGTCAACACCGTCGAGGTTGACGTTGGTAGAGAGGTTGAGGCAAGGCATTTCTCGCTTCTCTTCTCGTTCACTCAATTCTGAAACCCTTTTGTTTTCTAACAAGCGTATGTTGGGCGGCTGAAGGGGTGAGAAATGGGTGAGAGCGAATCACTGCACGCTGCGTTTTGATTATTAGCCATTGGATGAAATATAATCCTGTCCGTTGACTTTAATTAAAGTTTTGATTTTTATTCTCCATTTGCAATGGCTACGGAAGTTGGGAGAACAAAGGAGACCGTCACGGTGATACAACATTGTTATAAGCACGACCTCAGGAAATAGAATTTATCCTAAAAGACTAATTTATCGTAGTTAAAGAATTCTTAAGACTTGCTCACTAATCTTATGAGGTTTTTGAGAAGTGGCCATTGTTGGGTGGTAATCTATGCTGGTAATCAATCTACAGTAGTTGATAGTAGTGCTTCTTGCATTAATAAATTTTGTTAAGAAGTGCACAAATCACATTAAAAATAATACTCTTTTAAATAAAATATTACATAATAAAATATTTTATAAGCACGACCTCAAGAAATAGAATTTATTCTAAAAGATTAATTTATCGTAGTTAAAGAATTCTTAAGACTTGCTCACTAATCTTATGAGGTTTTTGGGAAGTGGCCATTGTTGGGTGGTAATCTATGCTAATAATCAATCTACGGTAGTTGATAGTAGTGCTTCTTGCATTAATAAATTTTGTTAAGAAGTGCACAAATCACATTAAAAATAATACTCTTTTAAATAAAATATTACATATTAATAAAAATTTTTAAATATACTTTATAATGTTTCTTTTTTAAGATAAAAATATAAATTTTTAAAAATATTTTATATTTAATATTTTATTGATAAAAAAATATAGAGAGAATGCATGAGAGGGTATATTAAAAAAATATTATTAATAAAATTTTATTTTTATTAAAAAATTTTATATTTTAAAATATTAAATCATTTTTAAAAATATTTTATAATTTAAAATGAAGAAAGTATTTTTAAATTCAGTGGTTAATGGATCAAAAATCTAGGGTGGACTAGGTTTCAGAATCTTTACGATTTTCAATGATACGTTACTAGCAAGCACAAGGTGGAGAGTGCTTAATAACATTGATCATTTATGGACACAAGTGCTTAAGGAAGTGTATTTCGCCCGAGTCTCTTTTCTTCTCGACGCTTTCAAAATTTCCAAAGCTTCTTGGGCTTTAAGCAGTTTATCAATAGACCAAGATTTGCTAATGAAATATTCTCTCTGATCCTATTTACAGGAGAGAGAGAGAGAAAAATTTTTTATTTTTATTTATAAGTTATATTATTAAATTTTTATTATAAATTTTTTTATCTTTCATTAAATATTGAAGAGAGAAAATATATTATTAAAATGTATATATTTAATAGGGATAAAGTTGAGAACTTATTAAATTTTAAGACAGTATTAATGAGTTTCAAAATTTTTCTTAATATTATTGAAACATGTTAAAGTGACTTATAAATAAAATTAAAGAAATATACGCTTTGTTTGGAAGGTAAGAAATGAACAAAGCATCGTGCAATATTTGGTATGTGAAAAAGTGTTTAAAAAAATGATAAGTGGACGTATTACATTTTCTTTTTAAATACATCCTCTATTTCCTTTTTAGAAAGTATTTTTCCTTATACCAACCATGTACTAAATTTAGTTTGGAAGGACCCAAGGGATTGCATAAACATCTTGCACAAAAAAGAGTGGATTGCGTTGTCAATAATAGTCACGCTGTTGCTGACTTAATAAAAGAGGGTATAAGTGGGATTTATCCATGGTGGCTCATTGTACGTCTGAAGAAGCTCTTGCTAAGATTCAGAAAATCCATATTCCTAATATCGTCACTTCTGATTCCATTGCCTGGGCCGGAGCTGAAATGAGTTCATCCATCTATTTTGCCCAGGCCAAGTCCCTCTCAAACTCTGCCTGATCATTTTTGGAAGGAAAAATGGAAAATCAAGATGTATCCCAAAGACAAAACTTCTTACGAAGAGCTATTTTTGGCTCCAAAGTTAGAACTAGAGGTCTATATTTATATTTAAGGAAGTGCTCTACACACCCTCAATTCAATGAATATTTCCTCTTTTAGAAAATGGTGCTCTGATTTTCTGTTGCATAATATAATAGCCCTGCAGATGAGTTTGGAATTGCTTACGTGGCATGTTTGCGTTGGAATATGTGGAAGGCAAGATCAGCATCAAGCAGTCTTCACAGCCGCTGAGTTTGGAATTGCTGATGCTGTAACAAATTTTTGGAAGATGAAGTTTAAAGATCAGCTTCATCCAAATTCTGCAGTAAGAGAGAACATTAAGTGGTCATTTCATCAAGGGATGATGCTGATTCCAGTTTAGTGGCCAAATTATTGGCTTGTAAAGGAGCCATCTCTATTGCTGCTGTTTTTTCCAATCAACAAGCAATGATAGAAATGGATTGGTGGGAGCTTTACTCGATTATTACACCTAAAAGCATTGCTTCTAGAATAGTCAATGCAGAATGATCTTTTAGACAACCTCAGGTCCAAGTCTTTCTCTCGTTTTTGTTCACCAAGCGAAATGGGAATGTTGCTGCACATTGGACTTTCTTTTTTTTTTTTTGCCATTAAAAGGAAATTCTATTAAGCATAAAAGAGTCTTACAGAAACTAAAAAACTAGCAGAAAAAAATTAACCACAGTTTCTAAAAGAAGGGCAGTCCCTCTCCAACAAGTTAAGTAAAGAAATTGGGGGTCGCACGGCCCAATTTAGAGGACACAATTCCTTAAGCAAAACTTTAACAATCCAATTTGCTACCATGTTAGCTTCTCTAGGAACCCATGCAAACAAGCAGGTTCTTAAAAAATTCCCCTTAAAGAGGATATTCTCAAAAGAATAGAAGCATCTCCAATTGTTAGGTGCCGAACTTGAATTTAAACAGTTGATTAGATGTTTAGAATCATATTCGAAACAAACATCATGTAAATCTTTACAGACACCAAAATCCATTACACGCTCCATAGCTAAAAATTCTGCTTCAAAAGCAGAGGAGGCAACACACAACTCAAACACACCTTCCATAATCCTTCCTTTGCAATCCTTGATAACAAAAGCAACAGCAGCACTTCTTAAGTTCTCCTGAAATGCACAATCTGTATTAATTTCTAGAAGGTTGCCCCAGGGAGCAAACCAACCATGATGAGAGCTATAATATGACTGATTAAGACAAAAATCATTATTATTAAGCCAACCATTAGCATCCCAAAATTCAAAAAGCATGTCATTTGCACGAATGCAAACTAGACACGAGTCCACCATAGTTTTTTCATACAAAAAGGAGCATATGGATTTCCAAATATGCCACAAAGTACAAGCAATAAGAGCTTTTTGCCAATGGTTGAAACTCCTATTAAGAAACCAAGAAGATAGCTATTGGTTCAAAGAAGGTACATTATTTTAAGACTCCAAATCACTTTCCAAAGATCCTGTAATATAGAAAAAGAAGTGGAAGGTTTAGGCTCCAAAATCACCTGTTGAAGTGATTTTGCAATATTATATCCTTCTTTGATAGAATAAGAGTTTCCATTACACCAACCCAAATCCAAAAATCCTCCCCACCAGATAAGACTCTCCTCACATTAGTAATAGCTTCTAACTCTTCATCGGATAGCCAATCTTCAACAAAATTCAAACTCCATTGATTGTTAACAATCAATTCATCCAAAATCATATCTTTCCAATCATCAAAAGGGCAAGGAGAAGATAAACACATACTTGGGAGAGGAGGTAACCAAGCATCTTTCCAGATTCTCGTCCTTCTTCCCTTTCCAATACTGGAGAAGAGATGGTCCTCCAGAATCCTTCACCCATCCAGGATGCTGCTCCAAATCCAAAAAGCACTTCCCCCATTTTTAACATAAAAAAAAAAAACCATAGTTAGGAAAATATAAACCATTTAAGATTCTAACCCACAACTGGTTAGGATTGTACAAAATTCGCCATCCCAATTTAGCCAACAGTACCAGTTTAAATTCTAAAAATCCTTAAAATCAAGACCCCCATCAGATTTTTTTTTTCTTTTCAATTTATCCATTGGAACCCAATGAATTTTCCTACAGACATCACTGTCTTTCCACCAAAAACTAGATATAATTCTATCAAGCTCCTTGCAAATCAATTTTGGATATGAAAAACAAGACATCGAATAAACGGGTATAGAGTTAATGATAGATAATATGAGAACCTCTCTCCTAGCTTCAGACAAAAAAATTCACTACCATCCTTGTGTTTTCCTTCTGACTTTGTCCACAACAAAATTCAGAGCTTGATTTTAGATTTGCCACAGAGAATAGGCAAACTGAAATAACTACCCGGAGCCTCCACCAATGTGATATGAAAAATATGATCGATTTCCTCTTTAATTAAATCGTTGGTATCGCTGGAAAAATACAAACAAGACTTGCTAACGTTGATTCTTTGATCAAATGAATTACAATAAAAGTAAGAATATTTTTCATCTGTCTGCAATTATCTAATCTAGCTGTAAGAAGAAAATAAAGTCATCTGCAAAGAGGCTGTGAGTGATGGATGGACAAGAGTGAGCTAACTCGATAACCTTAACCACCCCCAACTTTTCAGCCTTCTCAATCAGTTTTTTATAACACATTACTGACCAAAATGAAAAGATAGGGGATAAAGAATCTCCCTGACAAAGATCACGCTCTGGACAAACATCAGCAATTTTCTTACCGGCCATTAAAATATTAAAATTCATTGACGACACACACCCAAAAATCCTATCAACCCATTGCATCGAGAATCCCATTTTGATTAACAATTGGTATAGAAAGTCCCACTCCACTCTGTTATACGCCTTGTTCATGTCAAGCTTCAAAGCAAGCTCAGAATTACCTCCCTTCTTTCTTCTTAGATAATGAAAAGCTTCATGAACGACGACAATATTATCCTGAATTAAATGCTCTGAAACAAAGGCTCTTTGATTTCAAAGATCAACTAATTAAGGAATGGTTTGAGTCTATTTTTCATGCCATTAGAGATAATTTTCCAGGAGAAATTACAATGGCTAATAGGATGATATTCATTAACAGACGAAGGGCTCTCAATCTTAGGGATCGTCATCAAATCAGTATCATTTACACTATTGAATTCAAAACCATGAGAGAAAAAGGATTTGACAAGAAGACATACTTGCTCTCCAATGATATCCCAATTCTTTTGATAAAACACACCACTGAATTCACCCAAGCCTGGGGCCTTAGAACCACCTAGCCCAAACACAACAGCGTTGATAACTTCATTTGTAATGCTCTCTCCGTCTCAAATCATAAAACAATTTTAAAAAAATTTCTCGATTTCAAAATATAAAACATTTTAAGGTAAATTAAGGTTTTATTAAATACATAAATTTTAATATTATTCTTTCACTTTTTATAATTAATTTATGTCCTTCTCTTTTTAATATATTAAATGATGAGTATTTTTTAAAGTTTGTATTTTATTTTGAAAAATAAAATTGTTAAGTGTATTTAATGAAGTTATTAATATATAAAATTTTATCTAAAAATATCTTATAATTTAATACGAAAATCACTCATAAGAGAATTATTAATGTCATCACCAACTACCTTGTCAACATGACTTAATACTTCATCAAAGTTTCAAGATCCAAGAATGGGAGAGAAGACGTTTATAAAGGATGAGAATTGATAATTAACCTCTTCCTCATTGTCAAGCCAAACTCCCTCCTCATTCATGATTCTTGTGATCTTATTACGGTTCCTTCTCTGTATGGTTATAAGATGAAAAAATTGTGCGTTCTTGTCACCACATTTAAGCCATTGTAGTGTAGAATTTTGATCCCAAAAAAGTTCTTCTTGCAGCCATATTTCATTAATTTTCAACCCATGCCTCCTCTTTTATCCATTTTGAAAAACTCATAAAAAATGTAATTCCAACAAAAATAATATTCCCTCAGTCCCAAGGCATTTTTAGATAAAACCTTACATGCCAATAAATCTCATTAAATACACTTAACAACATTATATTTTTAAAATAAAATATAAACTTTTAAAATAATTATCATTTAATATATTAAAAAGAGAAGGGACATGAATTAATTATAGAAAGATAAAAGGTAATATTAAAATTTGTACATTTAATAAAACATCAATTTACCTAAAGTGTTTTATATTTTGGATGAAGAAACTCTTTCAAAAGGTCTTATAATTTCAGACGGAAGGAGTAGTGCTTTTTTAAATATATAAAATTCATGATTTTTTACTATAATTAATATTATTAAAAGGTCCTTAAATGTCATTCGTGTTTCTAAATAAATAAATATTAATTTAATTCTTAATATAAGACAAAGTTTGAAATTTTTGTCCTAAATATAAAATGAAGCTAGAGTAATTAATATTTTTTTTTCAAGTTTACTCCTTGTATATTTATTATCATTTGAGTTCCTAAACAACAGTTTATTTTAGTCATTAATTACAAAGAAAGGTAAAATTGAAAAGTTATACTATACTCCTTTTAATTAAAAATGTAAAATATTTTTAACTACATTTTATCCCTTAACTTTTTACCTAGTACTATCTTTTCATATTTATTATTATTTAATAAGGTGTTTCACTTAAAAATAAATATAAAATAATTTATTATTTTAAGGTATTTTTTTAAAAAAATATACTAATTATATCTTAAATACTAAAAATCCTTATTTTTTTTAACATTCAAACCCAAAAAAAAAACTTTATGTTTTTTAAGCCAAGTTGTATTTTATTTACAATTTCACTGTTATAACTAACATTTTTTAAAAATATAAAATTGGTTAACCTCCTCTTATGTTGAGGATTGGAGAGAGTATATATACTCCCTCCTATTCTGAGTATGAAGTTTATTTGAAGGTTTTAGTTTGATTTTAAATATAAGGTATTTTTTTTTTTTATGATCTCTTGTATTGACAAGTTATTTTCCTGATTATATCCGAATTAAATGAAGAGGTTAGAATCCACAATAGAGAGAGATTCGACATAATCATGTGAACACAAATTCACATTTTTAATGAAATGTACTCTTCACTTGACTTTGGAGGCAAACATGAATCCTTGGCATTTAGTGGCGATGAAGCTCCTAGTTGGTTTCGACCAGCAGGGGAGCACCTACCTAACTTCGCCTGTCCAAATCCCCACTCTCCCGCTCGTCATCATTCACATTCCCTAACAGAACCCAATCATTGCAAAACGACAAACTTCCTCAACTTTTACTCTGTTCTTTTATATATATATATATATATATATAAATTATATCGCATAATTTAAAAAATTTAATTAATAACAATAATATATTATAAAAATAAAAAACTTAAATTAAAATATTTTATATTAATTAATATAAATATACATTAATTATTTTTTATTAATATAAATTATGATGGGTAATTTTAAAAATATATAATAATTTTTTTATATAAAAAAAAAAAATAATATTTTTTTTTATAAATAGAAACGGAATGGTAGGTTTTAAAATTATACTTCATCTCTATAAGGCACGGTTAAAAAAATTTGATATCAAATATAAAATATTTTAATAAAAATAAAATTTTATTAATTTTTTTAATATTATCCTCTCTCATGTATTCTTTTTTTCAATATTTTTTATCAATAGAATATTAAATAAAATGTATATTTAAAAGTTTATACTATTATTTTAAAAAGTAAGATTGTAAAGTGTACATACGAGCTTTATTAGTATATAAAATTTATCTAAAAATATTTTATAATTAAAATGAAGAAAACAATTAATATGTTAAACATTTTTCAATTTTCACCTTAGGCTTTTTTTTAAAAGTTAGTGATGTGTCCCAGACTATAATTAGAATAATAACAATAATTAATGTTGTCTTATTTTTACAAAAATAAAACAATTTTCTTTGAAATGAAAAAAAAAACAATGAATGTAATCTTAGAGTAAAGTTAACCAACCTTAATTACAGCTCTTAAGGAATAAAAATTAATATTCTTAAATTTGTAAAAAAATGTTTGACTTTTCATTTTTTTCATTAATATATTAATTAATTAATATAAGAAAAAAGTATTTAAGAATAACAAGTTGATGTAATTAAAGAAAATAATAATTAAAAAATTAGTTGCTGCATCTTTGCTTTACATATTTAGGTGAAAAAACGACTTCAAAACTTTGTCATATGACTAGATTAGAGGAAGTTGTTTACCAGAGAACTAGAGGGAGTTAATATGTTCATTTCTTTCATGTGAACAAAAACTTTTTTTTTTTATAGAAAGCTTTTCTCCCTTATCCTTCATTTTTTAAGCATAAACGGTGAATTTATTTCCATGTCAAAAAAAGGTTAACAGAATTCCAACAAAATTAATTTTGTCAGTCTCAGTTCATGATTCTTATGAATATTTTTAAATTATAGGACTAACGTTACAAGCAAATTAAACTAAAGAGATTGAAAACAATAAAATAAAACTATAAGAATTAAAAACAAAATGCAATTAAAAGCATAGAGAACTATTATCATATTTTCTGTAATAATGATAATTATTATTTAAGTAGACTAGAGTATAATTATTAATGATGGGGGCCTCGTGAATGGATGGATGTATCTCCAAGTCTAATTCTTGTTAAAGAAAAAAAATGTGGTGGAGAAATTGAGTGAGCGAGGCAGAGAGAGACAAAGAGTGTAAGTGTCACAAACTAAAAAAGCGATCACAATTTGGAGGCGTTGCGAAAAGCAGTAGTGTCGAAAAGCTTGAGGAAGAATCTTGTTCTTGGAATAGAGAGCTTAGATTGGAGAATGGATCCAATGGAAGCGATGAGCTCCTTCTTCACTTGCGAGTCTATGCCTCCCATCGACACTATCTCCGCGTACGCTGCTGGTTCCTTGTTCCCCTCAAATGATATCTGCACCGACCCCTTCAGTATCACCATCACATACTGCAACACCATTTATTACTTTCATTATTACAGGCTCTAGTCATTTGCACAAGTAACTATGAATTCAATTCCCAAGTAGTACATCCCAAACCTAATTGGGATGATTTACTCTTTACCCCTCAAGTGATCCATCTTGTCATTATATGTAGCCACTTAACAATAAGTTACATTATAATTGAAATTATACACCATTTAATTTTACCACCTTGAATTGTCATGAGCAGTACCTTTATGATTATGTATATAAAAACTTAATTAGTTGAAAATGATCCTCTATTTACCCTCGTGGTAATTAATTTTTGCTGATGGTGTGGTATACTCCTCTAATGTCTTACAGCTTTTAGACAACTTGGTGTGTGGAAGTCACGAGTTAACTTTTATTGATTCAACTCAACTTAAATTCTCTTTTGAACTATAATATATATAGAATATTGATAACTACTTTACCATTCTAAAAAAAGTTAGGAAAAACTTTATGTATTGTTTGGTAGGATGGAATTGGGATTGAAAAAATGAAAGTAAAATTAACAATTTTTACAAAATTTCAATTGTAACCTCATTAAATGTTATATATAAATGCATTAGTCATGATAACTGAAATTTAGTGTATTATTTTTTTAAAAAAAATAATAAATGAAGTACAGTATAATTAAAAATAATTATAAAAATTATATAATGCCTTATATATTTTGGATCAAACAATATTTTTTACCTTCCTCCTACTTTTCATGTTTCATATAAAATGTCAAGCACAAGGATCCACACCCACTTTATCAACTAGGAAGATTCACTCCCACTAAAATTCTCTTCTAAATCTTAATGTTTTTTATACTATTCTTTGTTATTTAATTTAGACCATTTACTTACTTTTTTTTTTGTTTGGCCATGATATTCTTTTAAATTACTCAGTGCTTAATCAGATAATATTGTCGGATGAAGTTTCCCTCACATCATTAAACTAACAATCCAAAACGTTGACCCCAAAAAACTGAGCAATCAAACATATGGACATTGAATTAATGAAGTTTGATAATATAACAAGCAAACAGTACTATACTTCATAACAAATTTATAATTATTTTAGTATATTTAAATCACAGTGTATAAGTTTATGCATTAAATTTCGTCATACATTAAAATGATATATAACTTAATCAAAAATTCAAACTGTATAAGTTCTTACTACTCTCTCTCTCTCTCTCTCTCTCTCTCTATATATATATATATATATTCATCCTTTAATACTGGACAGAGTTGGCTGCGCAGTTCTTTCTGGAACCTTTTTCTCTTTTTAAGATATCTCTCTTAATCATACACAGGCAGAAACTCATGGTGGGTTCAAGTTGTAACCTCAATTTTATGAAAATGAATATAGAAAATTAATTTGCAAACATGTCATCTCCCACAGCCAGAGATAATTGTTAAGATGGACTCTGAAACTCTTGAAAGAATATTCTGAGATAAAACAGAGTAAGCTGGAATCCAAATGAACTAAGCGCGTAAGCGACACGGCAATACCAGAAAAGCAATAGCCAAAGGATAAGAATGAGCCTATGAGGAGAGATATAATAACCCAAATAATAAAGAAGGTTTTGAACGGATTGTTAATTTGCCAACATGTATAATAAGTAGCAGGAGTTGAATAATCTGTAAGATTGAATCGCCGGAGTTCAAATCTAAAATCAACTTGAAGAAAATCTCAGGAGAGAGGGGGAGAGAGAGAGATACTTTTTGGGGCTTTCCGATGATGGAGGAGACAGTGGAAGTAGCTTCGGAGAAGATAGGATCGGTGTCGATTCCGTCTAAGTTGACGTTGGTGGAGATATAAAGGCAAGGCATCTTTCTTCTGATTCTGATTCGGCTTGGTGTGATAATGAAGGTGAGGAAGATGATCGAAAGAAACAAGTGGGAGACACGAGCGAGTTGGACTCGGAGCAATTCCAGCTTCTTGTGGTCTATATAAAGAGCCAATCTCCTCAGCTTTTACTGTTTTGACTTTTGACCTTCCCTCCTTCTTATTCTCTGATTGGCTGGTGAAGCCTTGGAAATCCACGTTCCCCACTCCCTCTGCCTTTCTCGAACATCCATTGTCTACTGTTCCTTCTCATATTTTTAATTAAATTACATAAATTAATAATATTTAATTATCAATGAAAAGTGTAATGATATTTTAATTTTATTTTTAATTATTTTAAACAAAAAATAAATATTTTTTTAAATTAAATTAATTAAGGTGTAGTTTGACTGTTTGGTTGAATCGTTTCTGCTTCGGTCATTCCCTTGGGTGGGCCGTGGGCAATCCCATTCGGCCATTCCATCATTTTCCCATACGAATTCCCCCCGAAATTAATGAAATCATCATTTCAGGGAAAAAAGGCACCTTTTAAATTACCAATATACTCTTCTTTCACTTAATCTTTTTTTTTCTCCAATTAATACAATAATTAAAAAATATTTTCAAAAGACAAAGGAATGAATATTTTAATTTTTAATAAAAAATGAAAAAAAATTAATATCACCATAGATTTTTATGCTTACTTTTATTGGTATTATTTAAAATCCTTTTATTTAATGAGTGTCCAAATTATAATTGTAAGATTTTATTAATATTTAAAAATTTATGCTTAACCAAGAATAAATAAAATAATGAACTAAAACGCGATTTTATGAGGATGCAGTTCAATAATTTCTTTGCAATAATAATTGGATTGAGGTCAAGGGCATGGAAAAACACGGAGCTGTGATTTGGTTCTCTCAATAGCTTATGCTAACATTCTGTGATCAACAGTTCAATTTAATCAATTATCTCTATAGAACCACACTCACTACATATGAAAGGATTTGAGACAGCCATTGAACAAGGATCCTTCTTTTATCTAGGGGTAATATTGTCCAATCAAGCATAGATATCTATTTTTTGATGGTATATATATTTTAAACATATTTATTTTGTTCCATTAAATCTCATTCACACTGATCTTATGTTACTCTTCTCTGCCGACGACACTGTTATTACTTTCAAAAGTCTCACTGCTTGTCAAACTACTTACAACGTATTATATTAAAATAACTGGTTATGATCTCCTAATTAGCAATTTAATAAAAAAATTAAGTTAGAAGTCCTTATAATTTTACATGATTTAAACTAAAATTCTAATAATTTATTTTATTTTAATCAATTTTTTATAATTTAATAAAGTAAATATGTTAGTACCTACTCCTCCGTTTAAAAATATAAGGCATTTTTAATCGAATCCTACTCCTCAATAAAGTAGTTACCTACTTTTCAACTAATTCTATTTTTTTATATTTACTCCTATTCAATACCTTACAATTAATATAAAGTTATTATTAATAGAGACACTTTTTAAAAAAAGGTAATGGTTACATCTCGAAAGATTAAAATTGTCTTACATTTTTTAACATTCAATTCCTCAAAAAATACCTCACATTTTTAAATAGAGGGAATAATTGTTAGCATCTTTTAATTTTCTCTTTTGAAAAACAAAATTAATGACTTTTATATATTTATTAAAAGTTTGGTCAAAAAATATATTTATTAAAAGATTATATAATTTTAGAATAAAGTTCACAATTTTTATAATTCAAAAATTATATAATCAGGTTATATATTTTTTTTAAAACTTAAATTATTGCGTGAAAAGCCTTGAAATCTGAACTTTTAAAATATGTAAAATAGACTATAAATTTTTAAATTTATAATAAATTAAACCCCACTGTTAATTAACTCACAATTGACGTTGTTAATGTTCATTCAGTAGACATAGTCAAAATGTTAATGTAAAAGTCTCTTGCTGATGTATCGTTTTTAATTAACACCACAGATCTTAAACTATTGTGTGAGTGACATCTTAAATTCTGAACTTTAAAATTCAGAGTTATTTTTCATAAAAAATTATTTTAAAATTTTGCCTCTCATGACCATTGAACAGTAATATTTATTAATTTTTTTTTTACATCGATCAAGATATTGACCTGAGAGGGAAGAAAGGTCTCAACTACCTTTTTCCTGTTTTCATAAATCTAAGTAAATAACAAATTAACTCAGATTAGTGTTTATTTCTTCGTTTGATACAGTTATCATGTACTTCCTTTTTTAAATATAAAGTATTTTTTTAAAAATTGAATATTTAAAAATATAAAATATTTTTAATCTTTTATAAATGTGTTCCTATTAAATAAATTATTTTATAGTTATTTTAGGATGAAATATCCTATTGAATAGAGGTAAATATGAAAATATATGATTAGTTTAAAAATGAATAACTTTTTTATTAAAGGTAATATTTAATTAAAAATAGTTTATATTTTTTAACGAGGGAGTATATAATTATCAATATTTATACACGTATTATTAGATAACAGTTATATTATATATTTATATATTAGTTATTTGTAGTGATACGTTATAGTAATTTAAAAAAAAAAGAAGAAGACAATAAGCCAAGTGGGTGTAGCACACTTAAATGATGTTCAGATTTTTCAAGAAATTGGTTTGATGACTGCCGCTTATGGAAATACAAATCTTGAGGAAAATAAAAAGGGAAGATTACGAAATAATGCGAATCTGAATGACTTTTCGCCATTTCGTTGATTATCGTCCATTTTAAACGCCGCACTTGAAGCCGCGCACATGTTCATTTCATTAATTAATTAAATCAAATAGTTTCTTCTTTAATTTATTTCTTTAAACAAAATCTGCGTTCTTTTAAATACAATAACACAGTGATTAGCAAAAAGGTCAGCTGCAAATAAAATATTATCTCTGCGTTTATTTATAGATTATAAGAAGCACTTATAGTTTAATTTGGGAGAGTTATTTTTAATTGAGACTGATAATATTTAAATTTGATTTAATAAAATAATCATCTATAAAAAGATAATTATCTTAAACTTGAGGTAAAATCCTTACATCTTAAGGTAGAAGTGACTCAAATAAGCAGTCAATACAATACTCAATATCCTGTAGTTAACATCAATGAGGTGGGCCGATCAATTTTCTTATTTTATTTTATCTGTTTCTTACTTTATTCAATTTGAACCATCTTTTCTTTGATTTGGCCTACTCCCACCATTCCCTGTTATTCATCCCCTTTAATATTATAAAATATTCTTAATAAAATTAGTTAATTACCTTTAAAATATCATCCTCTTTTCATATTTATTCTTGTTTAATGTAATGTCTCAATTAAAAAAAAACCTCATTAATTACACCACTAATTAAGAGTTCTTACAATAATTATATGATTTTATATATCATTGCTGCATAGACAACAGAAAAATTCAACTTTCGTCTATCTTGTTATTTTAGGGACACATCGACTTTCACACTTGAGTTGTCTGTCTCTTTGTTAAAACGAGGAGAACATGTGAAGCCTTAATAAAACGAAAAAAACAGGATTCATACAAAAATTTAGGAGAAGATATCAATCTTTAATTTGACTTTGATTCGTCGTACATTACAACACAACAAAAAATAACAATATATATATATAATTGTCACGCAAGCTTTAAGACTTCTACAAAATAATGCTATCCACGTGCTAAGGCCCAGAATCGTAATTTCAAATTATTTGAAATTAATTAAAGTTTTATATTTTGCTAGAAAAGGGGAAAAAAAGGGAGAAAATGCTGCCTTACGGTGACATTGCATAATGCATACACACACTTACTTTTATAATTTTATTTATAAAGAAAAGAGAGAAAAAATTTGATCCTATTTATAAAATACTTGTCAATTCTTAATATTTATCTTTACGTTTTTACTCTTAGTAAGTACCTTAAATAAAAATATCAATAATAAGATTTAAGAATATTTATTAAGGATAAATGTAAAAGTTTGTTAAATTTTAAGATAAAGTTAATAAAGTTTAAATTTTTTTAGTTCCTATAAAATATGTTAAAAATAATTTATAAATAAAATTAGAGGGAGTAAGTCATAACATGTCAAGAAAATTGATTTATTACAGCAACATCAATTCCTTTACTAACTGTCTCGCAAAAATTAGTCTATTATTATTACATCTATTTCAATTACATCTTATATGGTGCCACGAAAATATCAATTTAATTCTGTCCCTAAATATAGTACTGTGTACTAGTATGTCCTATATAGAATCAAAATATTGATCAATATAATGACAAAATGCCTTTAACAAGATTAAATATGTCCAATACAATGCACAAAAGCATTCCTATGTATTTATCAAATTTCAACTTAATCGTGTATAATTGCATAACAAACATATAACACGTCACCACCATTGTTAATGCAAAATTTAACAAAAGCTATATGAAAAAAAATGTTGTAGTGAGTGGGGGGTTAATGCTATAGGTAAGGGATTTAAAATATTGGAAACAAAAAATGAAATCAAAGTTTATAAAAAAAATGTAGGATTTAAATCCTTTAAAATTAAGATGAGTAAATTTCGATAAAGTTCACCTTTTTACGAAAGAAAGAAAAATTTTTATATTTTATAAAAAAATAATAAAAAGAGAAAAAATATTGAAAAATGAAAACTTCAGTAAAATTCACAAATATTAACTTAAAAAGATTTAAATCAAAAAATGTTATAGCCTTATATTAATTAGAGGAATATGTGACATTGTTAACTGCAAGATGGATGTTATAAGCTCATAATGCATGAATTTAAAATATATTATTCTTATTCGTCCAATAATGTGATACAATCATACAATACATAAATTTTGACAGAAATTAATCCGTAGTTTATTTTGTTATAGTTTTGGTCAACATTAAATTAGGGTCTTGTAGTTTATTTTGTTTTAGTCAAATTCTTATAATTTAATTTATTACATATGTTAATTCTTGAAGGTTAAAATTGATTAATTTTCCCACAACAAAAATATTATTCAAGTTGAAAAACTTTTGATTTAATATTTTTGGGAAAATTTTAATT